GAACTCCCAGCACAAAGATCCCCATTCAATCATGGAGTTTGTTCAGCTCCAGGCTGCAGAAGTCAGATTTTTCAGACTCTGGTAAATGTTAAACTGGCAAATGTCTCAGCAGGCAAGGAGTGCTGCACATTCCACGCATATCCAAAGTTGTGTTCTGTTTCCAGAAAGAAAGTTGGCAGGGATGATTGATTCCAGAGAGTTCAGAATCAAACAGGGCCATCCAGAAAAAAAAAAAAAAGGGAAAAAAAAAGGAAATGGAAGAAGGAAAAATAGAGAACTGCAACACATTGTCTTCACTGACATTTAATATCATTCACATTTTCAGATTGAGCTAAAATTGAGCAATGGATTTGCCAACCTGTGGGGCTACTTCAGATGTTACACCAACATTAGTAGTCAGATAAAGTTGGTGAAGAAATTCTTACAAATGTTACAACCTTATCTTCCAGTAGAAAAGGCAGTAAAAGTGACACATAAGAGTGATACTGATACACCACAGCAACAATTCCAGTAGAGGCCAGGGAAAAATAGAAGCTCCCTCTGTTTTTTGAGGGGGAAAAAAGTAGGAAGGATTAGTTCTATTCTTTGGAGAACTCCTCTTACTTCTTCCTCCTGTGCAGAACATGAAGCTACTGATGCTTTAAGAACATGGATTTTTCTCTACTAACAAAGCCCTTTAACTAATTTTTCCTGATGGCCATCTGGTAATAACTTCAAGGCAATACTGACCAGCAAAAATGACCAACAACTGAGTTATTTAATAATAATTGCTTCCCTCCAGAATGACTAAACATTTTCTAACCAGGCAATTTTAAATGTACTGGTGTTTGTCTCAGGAAATTAGTACTGTATGTCTCACTTGAGCTGGGAAGCAACTCCATTTCCTGCTTTTATGAACCATGTTAATCCTCAAATAACACATTCCTTTGAGTCCTGTGGATATTCTGCCTCATGACATTTGATTCATCCTATGCAGGAAACGGGGAAGGAATGAGTAGGTTCAGCAGGTGTGCTCAGGGGAAAGGAGAGAGGAATGGCAGCTCTTCCTCATTTCCTATCTAGTGGAGGAAGAAACCCCAGAGGAGTCAAAAAAGCAGCGATAACTGAGCATAGTGGAGGAAATAGCAGCTTCCTCCCTGAAGGAATGTCCTCTCCTGTACCAGGCACTGAGGCATTTTGCTGAGAAATAAGGGACAGCCACAACTGTCAGCGTTTCCCTGCCTACACTCCTAAAAACTGGTTAGAGAAAGAGAACTGAGAACTGAGGAAAGTCCACTTGAATTCACAACTCACACAGAGCTTTAGAAAGTACAAGAGATTTTGACCTAAAAGCCAGCCCTTAAAGGCAAGTTGTATATAAAAAAAGTGCAGCAAAGGCTGCCTGTCAAAAAGTAGTGAAAGAATTGACTTGGTGTAAGTTGCTGCATAAAGTTTCCTCTGTGATCCAGACCTGGAATTACCCTGAGCAAACTACTCCTGGCACTAAGATCTGTCTCTTTGCAAGAGACAAAATATTAATGAGATTATGAAAGCATAGATTACTATTAATCACCTCTCACAGGGAGGCAAACTCTGCCATCTGCTCATTTAAACCTGGAAGCGCCGAAGCTGAGAAATGTTTAACTCCTAATTATGACGTTACTCCTTGAAAACAGTTTTCCTGATGAGTTCTTCTACCTCGTTTTGTCATGATTAATAATTAGCTCACTAACACAATAAACATGCTTGATTGAGTGGGAAGCAGCAATAGAAGGGTCTGAGAAGGTGAAGCACGTCTGCATTTCATGCAGAAAACTGAGCAAGGGCCACAAGAATGGCTTGAGATTTCATACACCTGACAGGAAGGAATGTATAAAGAATGTACAAGCAGACTATTAAAATTAAAGACTCCTCGCTGCAGGCTGATGCAGATGCACAGTGACTGCTCTCTCAGTAAGCTGTACCCGAGCCCCAGCTAGTGGTGGGAATGACTGATGGCATTTTTACAGGAGAAAGGAACGTGTTCAGAACAGAGAAAAGCTTCAGATTATTGGCACGTTGTCTCGTAGCCATCAAGCCTGGTTTTATGTTCAAAATGCTTCCAGCAGAAACAAAATTCCATATATTGGTTACCCACAGCATGCCTGCACCATCCACACAGCACCTCAGTGGTTCTGATTGATCCAGCAGCTGGAAGAGGCAGGAATACAGACAGTGATTTGCTGTCTCCACTCTCAGTGCTGTTTCATCCTCTGAGCCAGCTTGTCACAACACAGACTACAGTGACAAGCAAACCATGAGACATTTGAGTAGTGTAAAAGCTAGGACATGGCTTTATTCTTTGAAAAAAATCAGATTTTTATAATGAAACCTGCTACTGGTGCAAAAATGAGCCAGGTTGTAGGAAGCAGAAATAAAAATAAGGGCTGTGGTGGACCCAGAGGTTAGAAAGGCTCACCTAAACCAGCAGCAAAGGAACAGAAATACTTAATAACTGAATATCTGAGCAGTTCAGTCAATTCATCTACCAAAAAGACTTACAGAAAAAGATGATATTATTACCTAAACTCAGAGCTATTAATAACCAGTAACCCAAGCAGTTCAACTGTATCAGTGTTTCAGGGACATTATTAGTGAGAGCCATAACATGCTGTGTTTATAGGGACAACCAGAACAGCACAGAGAGTTATGATAAAAGAGACCTTGTCCCAGTTAACAAGAGAAGAACTGGCCATGCTGGTATCACTGGAGTCCAGTTTCAATGCTGCTGTCAGAGCCTCTGATAAGAAAAATCTTCCCTAGAAATATTTTTTCCTGCCATGGCTCACTAAGATTTTCACACACAAGAAGTTCCTTTTTTTTAAACTCTCTAATATATATTCAGTCAGACATCCAAGATTTACAAAAGAGCTGCTGCTAGTATTTGTTTCTTCTGTGGCCCTGTGTGCTTACACACACCCAGGTAACCTGAAGAGCTAATTCATCATTTTACAGAGCACAATTGCAGCAATATTGATATTTTCAGAATACAAAAACTTAACGGTTCAGAACTTTAATCAGCTAAAGATTTGTAGGCTTCTCTGACCAGTACAAAGTGTAAATTGAAAGTGCAAATCCTCTAGAACACCACCAGATGGTAGATATTCTCAGTGTAAATGCAGGGGAAAAAAGATGACCTCTACACACAAGTAGTGAAAAGTTATAATTTCTGTTATTTGTGATACTTTTGGGAAACTTTATATATTATCTTGAAGGTAGAAAGGTTCATACTCTAGCTAACAGGGTAGGTAGTTTGTTCTATGTTTTCAATTTCCTGTTGTACAGGTATAGGGTTCTAATATCTAAAATGGGAGACTTGATTTTTTTTTTTTTTTAAACAACCCCAAAACTTACAGAGGTGTAACTATTTTAGCTTAATTATAAACTTCAATGTTAATACAATTAAATTAGAATTCATTTAAGCTAATAAGTTAAAGTAGTTTGAACATATTTGAGATTTTCTTACTACTAAAATTATGGGTTTCAAAATTGATTATGGTGTAACTAAAACAACGCTTTATAATATAAATGCATCCCGAGTATTCCAGGTGGGAACATCAGCGTGTCCTGTTATTTCTCAGTCTGCTGTTGTTTGCCAAAGTTAAGCATCACTACAGAGGTGTTCAAATTCACTGTATTAATGTCTTCTATTTTCTACAGGTTTAAGTCAGTGTGTTTTCCTCTGGGAAAATGGCAAATTCTTAACAATTCCAGGTAAAATATAGCCCTGCCCCATGAGGATTACATCTCTGATTGCATTATGAATAGAATATTCAGGTGAGATAGAAATTAAGGGGAGAGACACTGCAATACAAATACAGACATCTCCCAGGAGGTGATTATGGATAATTTTTTTTACCTCTAAAGTACTTGCTTAGAAATTAGTGAGGGAAATTTGGTTTAGATGGGACAGGATGATATAAGTGGAGTATAAAAGGGTCCCAGCCCAGGCCCCTTAGGGGTGTGAGGCTCAGTCCCCACATCACTTCAGTGACTCAGATAATTTCCCCTCAACCACTTTGTTGTTTTTGTTTTGTTTTGTTTTCAGTCACACGCAAGAAAACCACTGAGCTGCTTTATTATGAGAAGTCAAAAAGCAAAAAGACAAAAAAAAAAAGTAGAAATAAAAGCAACAGGGAAAGCGAAGCTGCTCTCCTCATTGTCTGGGGCAGGAAGGGTGAAGTGGGGGATGCTGAGGGTGAGAGGATGAAGGGGGTGAAAGGGATAAAGGAGGTGGATGGGATGAAGAGGATGAGGGAGGTGAAGGGGGTGTTATGGATGGAGGAGGTGAAGGGGATGCAGGGCGTGCTGGGGGCTAAGGGGATGGAAAGGGGTGAAGGCAGTGAGGGGGGTGTTGGGGATGGAAGTGATGGAGGGGTACTGGGTGTGAAGGGAATGGAAGGGGGTGAAGGCAATGAAGGGGGTGTTGGGGATGATGGGGTTGTTGGGGATGAGGGCGATGAAGGGAGCGTTGGGGATGAAAGGGGTACTGTGGGTGAAGGGAATGGAAGGAGGTGAAGGTGATGAAGGGGGTGTTGGGAATGAAAGGGATGCTGAGGCTGAAGGGGATGAAGCGAGTGTTGGGGTGAAGAGGTTGAAGAGGATGAAGGGGGTGTCGGGAATGAAGGGGATGAAGAAGATGAAGGGGGTGTCGGAGATGAGGGAAATGCTGAGGATGAAGAGGAGGAAGGGGCTGTTGGGGATGAAGGAGGTGTCGGGGATGAAGGGGATGCCGAGAGTGAAGGGGATGCTGAGGATGAAGGAGCTGAAGAGGATGAAGGGGATGAAGCCCATGTCGGGGATGAAGGGGATGCTGAGGGTGAAGGAGCTGAAGAGGATGGAGGGGATGAAGCACATGAGGGGGGTTTCGGGGATGAAGGGGATGCCGAGAGTGAAGGAGCTGAAGAGGATGAGGGGGATGAAGCACACGAGGGGGGTTTCGGGGGGGTCCCGCGGCGGGACCTGCCCGCGGCCTCCCCCCAACGTCACTTCCGAGGCTGGAGACAAAATGGCGCCCGGACGGTGCCGGCGCTGAGGCCGCTCCCGGCGGGGCCGCAGGTGAGCGGGGAGCGGGGGCGGCGGCACCCGCAGGGGCGGGGGTGGGACGGGACACGCCGGGCCGGGCCGGGCCGGGCGGGGGCAAAGGCAGAGGCAGAGCGGCGGGCGCGGCCCGGAGCGGCCCCGGCGGAGCCGCCCGCCCCGGGGGTCCGCAGGGAGGAGGCGGCCGGGGCGAGGCAGCGCGGCAGGTGCGGGGAGCGGTGCGGGAAGAGCTGTGCCCGCAGGGAGCGCCCTGGGGCAGGGCGGGGGATGGCGGGAGAGGCCGCTTGGGTGAAGATGCTCCGTCCCCTGGGCGGCTTTTTCGGTGTTTTTTTTGGCGCTGCAAAGGCTGGCTCGGAGGTGTCGCTCCTCAGCCCGGTGCTGAGGGAGCGGTGCTCTTCCAAACACTTCCTAACGCACCGTCTCCAAAAGTTCCGGCGCTTCGCGGGCCCCGAGGCTCCCGCAGGGCCGAGTTCTGCCAAACCGAGCGAGCAGAGCTTGGAGAAATGAACTCCAGAGTCGCTTTCCTCGCTGGAAGTGCCCTCCCGTTAATTCTCCTGAATTGGAGATGCTCATATATATCGCAGTTCACGATGGTGCAGGGGGAAAAACGTTTGGGGTGAGAGCAGAGGTGTTGGTGTGAGACATGTAGGGCAGCTCTAGGGATGTACCTTCAGGTCCATTTTTAATCTGGAGCCAGAGCAGCGTGTGGAGATCGCTGATAACCATCTCATGGCAGCTACCTGGAGGCTTCAGGGAAGTTTCCAGTGGTTTCAAATTCATACGAAGCTGCAAAATTTCCACTTTGAGGTAGTAGAGGAAACTTTTAAATTGTTTTCAGCTGTTGAAGGAGGAAGGGAAGGTGGTGTGGCTGCACCTGCTAAATCATTCAGTGGCAAGAGAAGTATTTTTCTCATTTTACATTTGAGCAGCAGTGGACAGCTCTTGGAACAGCAGGGGCTGCTTGAGCTTGTGATGCTGCTCTAGTCTGCTGTGTCCAGTCTTTGCTCTGCACTTTGGGTGTGTTATTTGGATGCAAAGTGTTTTTCAGCTTATTCAAAACATGCTGAGTGGATTAAGGGAACTGAAGATGGACAGCAGCATGGTATTTAATTGTTATATTGTTCTCTGCTGGCACTTGCCAGGTTTCAATAAATATGATGGGCATGTTAAGAATTCAGGGCTGCTTTCCTTGGTGTAGACAGAGGGATCTCCACTGGTGAATCAGTGATGGCACTGGCACTTTTCAGGTAGAGACCAGCATCACTGATGGATGGGGGAGTGACTTTTAGGAAACAAAAGAACTCTTGGACTTGCAGGCACAGCAGTGAGAACCATGGAGAAGCACCTGTTGGTTTTCCAGCATGGAGCTCCCAGGATTTGCCAGGGCTGAAGTGCCTCAGCCGCCCATGGCATAGATCATAAAAATGAATTTCACTTACAGTGAACCCCCAGCTATGTAAATGAAAGGCAAATCATCACTTTGGATAAAATATCTTAGGTCGAAATACCATGGTAGGTGTGATATTTGGAGATTTCCTGAGCTGGTGCCTGTTCAGTGCAGTTTCAACCTTCCTTCTGGAGCAGCCTGGGAGGTGGGGAAGGATGTTGAAGTGCTTCTCTACACTTGTATAACCCATCCTTTTTTTTTTTTTTTCCTTTTGCATATTTGCTTGAGAATGGAAGGGAAGTAAAGCAGGAAGTCCTTTTCTGTAAAAGCTGAAATGGCTCTGGAAGTCCATCCTGCAGTGCAGTGATGTCCCCATTTCACTGTTATACATAAAATCCTTGATCCTTGGGGGTAAACAAGTAGTAATAGTGTAAAAAAAAGGAGATCTGAATAATACTTCTTACTGGGTGTCTGTCAGTTGAAAACAGAAGTTCAGAGAGATTTAGAGATGACCAGTGATGTATTCCTGCCTTGGCAAACCTGTAATTTAAAGCAGTGCAATGTATTTCTACTTGTTAGCGTGGAAAGGACAGAGATGAGCCTGAGAATTAATGACTCCCCCTCAATGAAATAATTGCTTTTTTCAATGTGTTTTTTTCTCCAGTTGTATTCTTAGCTGGAAAATATCTCCTCTGTGTAAAACATGCCTGTAGACAGAACTGGGAGGCTGAGCCCTGTGTGGTAAAAAGAAATGACTGAAATGGGCTTTTCCACATAGTGGTCAATCAGCAAGGTACTTGTGTGAGAAAATTTTCATTGAGTTTTACTTTAGTTGCAAGTAGAATGAAAGTGCACTTATCTCTGAAGATTGGAATGGTGTTTCTGTATATTTGCAGTTGTTAGAGACCTGTTATTGTCTGTTGACTTCTCTTGACTAGTTGCTGTTTAATTAATAAACTCTGGGTTTCTGTTGTGTTGGTGATTTCTTGGCTTGTTTTCCTGGTTACCTGCATAAACCTCTCTAAGTTATAACAGTTTCTTTGGTTATGTGGCAGCAAGCAAAGGCTTTTTTCTTAGTGGACAATAGGCAATAGATTTCAGTGCTCAGAAAATCACTGCCCATTTTTTTCTCTGTTCTTATTCAGGCAGCCTCGAGTGACTGAAAATGTCTTTGCAGTGAAGTGCCTGTAGGTAGAAATAAGATACACTATCAAATACATATTTTAATCTTAATATGAACTTAATTTTTTTTAACTGACAACCTTTGTTTCACCTACTAATAGAAGATTCGTGGATTAGAGTGATTAAGTGTTGCCCTGAATAAATGGAAATGTCCTGATGTTTAGAAAAGGATCATGGGCTGCAACTGAAAACTAAAGCAAAGCCAAGAGCTGTGCAGAATCCCAGCCTGGACCCTGGTCATTAGGAAAACAGGCTGGGGAGACTTGCAAGTTGTTCCTGGTTCTCTAATGAACATGTTTTTACTGGAGCAGTGACGTAATGCATGTCCCATTTTCAGCTTCCAAAATAGGGTTGATGCTCTCATGCCTGGTTTTCCCTTCCTCTGAAAATTGGAAGCAACAACCTCTTTCAAAATGCTTTTTGATTCTGGGATTTTAAAAAAAAAACAAAGCCCACACAGAGAAATGATAAATAATGGCTTATAAAGTCAGAAGATAGGCTATGAAATCTGGAAGTACTGATTTAGTTTGAAAGAGATGATCTGCAATGCTTTGTGTAAAATGACTTGCTTTCATTTACAAACTCTATTCCCAGAAAGTTATATTTTTTTCTAAGGGAATATTTAAAACTCTTGAGTGTGGATTCAGAAATAAGGTCAAAATACTTTTTGTTTCAAGCATCTTGTTTTAGAGTGACCCCAGTGTTTCCTTAAATACAAAAGCCTTGTATATTCTTATCTGAATAAATATAATTTGTTGCCTGGAACTTTTCAAAGTACACTTTTCTGAACCTCTAGGGTGAGGTGGTGCAGGAGATCTCCTCTCTCCTGTGTTTCCAGGTGCTCTGATACCTGCAGTCAGTGTGTGGTATTTCTGCACTCAGAGGACACAGCAGTAGGTGATGGTTTGAAATCAGTGGGACTTGGCAGTGTTTTCTGTGAATTCATGGTTAAAACTCAGGGTTGCTGGTGGCTCTGCTTCACTTTTGGCATTAATCATTCTTGTTTTGAGGGATTTCAGTGAGTGGTCAGAGCTCACTGTGGTGGATGTTATGAACAATATCCAGGTCTTTGGTAGCTGCAGGTTTGTGTTGCTGGTGAGTTCGGAGGAAACTCAATGAGTGAGAACATGTTGAATGAAAACAGTTGTTATTTGGTGGAGCTGCCGAGCGACCCTTTGCAACTGCTGCACTTGCAGATATTTCTGACTTCAGAACAGCCTGAATGTGCTCATCACCGTGTCCTTCATCTCATCACCAGTTCCCCTGGTGACACAGCAGATCAGTGGCACTTTCACTGGGGCTTTCCTGGGAACTCTTGCCTGGGACCCGACCGCGTGTTCCAAGGAAATCATCAGAGTGAGCAGTGAGAGCTTGTTCCTGCTCGCAGTGATAAGAGTAAATACCTTGCTGGTACTCAGTGATCGTGCTGGGAATGAATCTTTGTGCAGCAGTTGTACAATTTGTTTCAGATTTCCTTGGGTTTATTGAATTTGTGTACCAAAATTTAACCCCCGAATTACTGTTGCAGACACTTCTGTTGTTGGGTCACGTTTCATTTAGGTAGAAAAAAACCCCTGGTGGCTGCACACAAGTTGTATATAGTCTTAATTTGATTGATTTCCCAGTGCAATTAATCTTGCTTTCCACATAGTTGAGTTCAGTGTCACCACAAGAAGGAGTGTGGAGGGAGGAAAAAGCGCTGAAAAATGCACAACTGCAGGTCTAAAATTTTTACATTAATAGCTTTAAAAATACCTGTTGAAGCTTTGGGTTTAGTGCAGCTTAATTTCTCACCTAATTGTGATTTATGGTGAGGTGGATCCTCTTGTAAGAATAGAGAAGTGCTGTTTGTAAGGGATCTACCTGAACTGTTACCTGGATGTTTAACTACATTACTGTGTTTTGTCATCTTCTAAGAAACATCACTGAGAGGTTTGGAAACAACCAGCTGTATAAAAGCTGAATAAAATATTCATAATACTAATTCATAATACTAATATTCTTAAAACTTATAAATACCAGGCTTGTCTTTTTTGGTTTGAAAATACTTTCTAAGCTATTAATTCTTAGCAAAATAATTTTGAGTTCACTGTGAAATACAAGAAATGTGTAATTTTTTTACTGCTCAAATGAAACAGAGTTCAAAGGTTTTGTTCTGTTTTTTAAATTTTTGACTTATTTATTTAACAGCTGGGGTAAATAAAGCTCAGCTCCCCAAAATATTTACTTTATAAATTGACATATTCCCCAGCATTCATATTTTTCAGTGCAAAGATGTGAAGGATTGTGTGAAATTTATTTGGAGTGTATTTTGCTAGAATGTATTTTAAATTAAATGTTAGTACTTATGCAGAGTACTTAGTAAAAATATATATCAGTTAATCATTGTTAAAATAAAAAAACTAAAGACAGGGAAGAAATAGCAGTACTTGAATAAAGTGCTCTAAGTGAAGAGGGATCAGTTAATTTCCAAAGAAGGGGGGTGTTAATTTATTGAAAATTCTGTCTGACAGCAGGAAGGAAAGTGATTCCAGCCTAATTTGCAATAAAGCTTTTTTTGTGTGAATTAAAAAACCAGAAAGGAAGTGAGTTGATGTACAAGAGCCTTGGCTATGGCATCGTTCTGATTAATTTTGCCTCAAGTTCGTGGGTTTCCAAATTCAAGGCTTACTTATCTAGGAATTTTTGTCAGAAACCTCGTGAAATCTCAGGCTTCTGCTGAACAAGAAGGTAAAATGCTTTAGTGTAATAAAATACCTTAATTAAATGCTCTATTTTTGAGGAATATTTTCCTGTTTCTGACATGGGAGAGTAGAGGCTCAGTACATGCATTTTCTTAATTTGAAAAGCTTTTAGGAGTCAGATCTCTTTAGAATTTTATATCAGTCTTGAACAAACCAGCTCACTTTAAAAAGCAAATGGAACAATCCTGCCTGGGCACATTTCTGCTACATCATCATTTAAAATGGGAGGAAGATTAATCCGTCTTGAGGTTATTCAGACACATTTGAGCTCTAATAACAAAACCGTAGCTCAGAGCAGATTTTTTTCTAAAGAAATATACTCCTTTTTGACAGATGATTTAGGAAAAGAAACTGCAGGTCTTTGTGTACTTCCAATTCAGTGTAAATTTGTAGGTAAGTGCATGTTACAATTGTCTGTTTTCCTTTTCAGGGCTCATGTAATCACAGGAGTTTCTTTGTTGTGAGTATCTTTTCAGAGCACAACAGGAATTCAAAATGAATCAGGTGAGTATGAATGTAAGACTTGATCAAAATCCTTAGAACAGTTAATTATTAATAAAAAAAGTAAATCATCCACTACAAAAGAAATGGGCTTTAAAAATCTTCAGTCTTATTAAATTTCCTAATCATCCTTCCTACAATATGTGTTCTTGGGAGTATTTTAGGGATTCAAGTGTTTTGCAGTGTGTAAGTTATTACTCCTGGCACCTCTTACAAGAACACCTCTCCAGAAAAATCCATTTCCTCCTCAAGCTGTAGGTAATAATTCAACCCCTTATAAAAAAGTGGCTTGAAAATTGAAGGTTTCCATTTTTTTTTAAATCTGTTTTGAAATCACTTTCCCATTTCGAATGTGCAGGAAACAATCTGCCCCAGGAACTGATTGATTGGGAATTTTCACACTTGTCTAAAATCTGAAGTGTTTCTCCTGGAATCAGGTGGAAAAACTGGGAAAGCACAGTTGCTTTGGTCTCTGAATTCACAGATATCCTGACTGGAGGGTGTTGTTTTAATCAGTGCCAAGTGTAGAGCATTTTATTCTGCGTTGTTTTTTTATCCAAGTAGGAATTGTACCTCAGTTTGTCTATCACACACAATTGTGTTACTTAAAGATACAGAAGAAGTACATTTTGCCTCAGATTTTCCTGCTAAGTCTTTCTCTCTCTGGCTGAATCTTCCCAAGCCCCTTTACCGTGGGAATGTGACTGCAGGAATGTCATTTTTACTTGGCTGAAAAAGTCAGCCATGAACAGGAGCTTTATGAGTCAGAAACCTGCAGCCATGTAAGAAGCTTTATATCCTTTTTATTGATGCCTGTAGCTAATGTGTGCTTTTATTGCCCTTTATGCCCTCATTTGATCAGCAGCAGCCCTGAGTAGTTTGCACTTTCCTGAGGTGTGTTTTCTCTGAAGTTGTAGAAGTAGATTCATAAGTAATCACACTAGGAAATGGGTTGGTGGGATGTTTCCTGTTGCTTTTTTCCTCTGATTTAAACTGAAAGGTCTTTGAGATATGTGTGCATACTAAAAAGGTGAAAAGCAAAATAACAGAGCCTTGAAATATGTATTCTAAAAATACATATTTGTATTATATCTGTAGACAAATATAAATTACACATGTAATAGAAATGAGGTTTGCATGATCAAACTTTAAGGCATTAGTGGTCTATTTTAGGGTAGCAAGTTTAACTTTTGCTTCACAATTTCTCTTGAGACTTGAAATGCTTTCACCTGTAGGGTTTGTTTTGATGCACTCAGTGGCACAGAGGGAGCCCATTGCTCTGTCCTGCTCTGTCAGTCCTTCTGACAAGCTTTGGATTCTGCTGAAACTCTGAAAGCTGAAGGTCCTCACCTGTGATTGTTACCATTGACTGTTTCCTTGCCATTTGTGTGTCCATGTCCCCTCATGTCCTGTCTGTTGTTGTGTCCCCTCTGTTTCTAGAATTAAATAAGATTTCTGTGCTGTATCAGAAGAAAACTTCTCATCTTTCTTGTGGGGACTGATGTTATTTCTGCAGCACTGTGATGTGACATCTTACAATTCAGTAGTGAGATCACCCTGCCTGTGGGAACACTTTAATAGCTCAGGGTTCCTCCTTGGTGTTTGTGGCTTTCACATTGGGTTTCCAGAGCTCACGTGGCTTTTTGTTGTTCTATTACCATTCCTATTAAGTGTGGATTTAGCATCAACCCTGTGGTGTTTTTTTCTTGCAGTGCCTTTGTCATTTCATTCACTGTTGACAAGTTGTAGTGCCAGGTCTGTATAAGAAATGTTTTTGCCTGATGCCAAACACCTTTCAAGCGTTCTGTTCTCATACTTCTTTCCTTCTGCTTTGTCTCTGCTTTTGCTGTGACTTCAGTGACCCTGAAACTAATTGGGCTGGTGTTAATTTTGTGGAACAACTGCTGGGTTTGTGGTTTATCTTGTAGAAAAGTAGTGAAGGAAAACCTTTTCATAACTGCTGTGATATGTTGTAAGGAGACGAAGGATTAAAATTAAAAGAGCAGCTGTTGGAATTAATATTTTTGGGTGTCTTGGAGGATTGCTGTCTCGGGATAGGCAGTGTGCATCCTCTGTTTTAGAAGGAGATCTGCCTTTAATATGTAAACTAGTTCATCAGAATACACTCAGTTTATTTAAAAAACCCAAGCAAACATGGGGTTGGACTGGGAGCATTTCCTGCCCCTCAGACTGCAGTGAGACAGAGCAGCAGGAATTTGGGGTCTCCCTGGAAAACAGCATGGGCAGGTATTTAAGAAGTGCTGAGGCACATGGTAACAAATTACACCTGCACTTGTACTGAAACTCCCTCCTCCCCCCATTCCTACTGAGTCTTTCAATGATTATTTCCAATATTTCTGATACATCTTTAATTTCCAAGCACACAAAGGGAAATGGTGACAAAGAGGGGTAGCCAGGCAGGGGGCTTGGACAAGGAGAGACCTTCCTGCTTTCCCTTCCCTGTGCTCCCTGGCACAACTCCCTTTTCTCAGCTACCCCTTTTAACTCCTCTGCCACCTCCCTCTCTCCATGGCATCCTGTCCTTTATCTCCTCACTCACCCTAATGCTGTTTCCTCCAAACCTGGCACTAACTGAGTGCTGTCAGTCAGTGCACTCTTCAGGATGATTTCTTCCTTTTTTTTGCCCTAATTTCTGATCACCTGTAAACATCTTGTTGCAGGTGCCTTTTCTACTCTGCTTTAATACTGTTTGTGACATTATAGACTAATTTGTGGTTGCTCCAGAGGGACAGTTTTTTTGAAAGCCGTGTGAGAAGTTGTTTAATGTGTTGAAAGATGCTGTCAGAGCGATCGGACTCTGGATTGGATGCAATCAGGAAAAGATGGTTTCAGTTAAGAGGCTCCCCTTCAACCCTCAGATAACTCCTTGGCATTGCTCTAAAGTCACTTCAAACTGGATAATTTGAATGCTAGAAATGTAATTTCTTTATGAACTCCAGAGTAAGAAGCTTAAAAGTGAAATGAGCTTCAGGTGGGTTTGTATTCAAAATTTCAGTCTCGCAGGGAGTGAAAATCACTGTATTAAGGCTTTCACTTGAATGCAAAAGTTGGCTGTAGGACATGCACAATGCATTACCCTTATCAAGAAGTGAACTTTTTAAGCAGAAAAATAAATTTAAATGTGACTGTTAAGTGTTGGTGGAGAAGTGTTTGAAATACAGTATTTCTTTTGGTAGACAGACGTTCCTTGGGGACAAGTTGTGATCTGGAAAATGTTTCAAGTAGCTACATCTAAATTGCAAATAAAAATAGATTGCACAGATTTGACTGAACTAAATTGTTTCTTTTACTGTTTTGAATTTGGTTGCTTGTTACCATTCCTTTGAGGTGTGAAGTCTATGGTTGTGTCCAAGGCCATATCCAGTTTTGTGGCACTTGTGAAATCCATTAATCTGACAATTGTTGGATGGGGCTGGTATTGTATTCTCTGAATGTCCTGCTGTTCTTTGATTTATGGAGGTAGATGCACAGTAAAGTTCTCATTGTATTTGACTCCATACAAATAGACTTCTTAAATGGTGGGACAGTTTGGGGATATTTCTGGCTAAAAAGAGTCATGATTATTAAGGAATATGGCAGGAAAATCAGAGATACAACACAGTGCTCTACACTTCTGTCTGAATCAGTTGAGTCTGGTTTAAGTTTTGGTAGGTCAAAGTTTATTTCTTGGCTTGAGATTTTTAACTGTTCATAAAAAAACCCAACCTGAAAACAAAACCCCTAAAAGAAACCAAACCCTAAAGTGAAACCCAACCAAAAAAAAAACCACCCCACTTTTAGCTTAAAACTGGAAGTTTCTCATTCAGAGAGCTGTCACACCCTCATCTGTGCCTGGGTATAATTTGTTATTGGGTTACTGGAAAAAGTAGCCTCGGTTCTCCCCTGTGAAATGCTGGGAGAGCTGTTTGGCTTTCTTTGATATGCTGAGAAGAACGCGTTTCTTTTTCATCTCAGCCGTGGCTTCTTGCATATCAGTTCAAGGCTAACAGATGTCTGGAAATCAGGCTCCTTTCCTTGGTATTTTTCCTTTTGGGTTGTTGGAAGAGCAAAATAAAGCCTTGCTCTGCTGTGAATAGACTGCAGCTTTTAGAACTAAGGAATAAGTATTTCTCCCCCTCCCTGGTTTCTTCTCTCTCATGGATGGGAAGGGATTTCTGGCATTCCCTTCCTTCCATGGTTTCCAATTTGGGGTCTTTCTCCCCTCAAATAGCTCTCTGGGAGCTCTCTGTGCAGCTGTTAGGGCTTACCAAGGCAGCACCAGAATAACCTTGCTCTGACTGCAGTTTGATCATTTTTCTTGTCCTTGCAGTTCAAACTGGCAGAAGATTTGTTCTTCGTAACTTCATTTTTTTTTAAAAAAATGTAGTGAATCATTGGCACAGCAGCACCCTCCCAATGAGTGGGTGCAGAGGAGCAAAGGCTGAGAAGATTTATCTGTTTTGCTTTAGAGATAAAAACCATGAAATTTGGTAGCACACCAAGATGGATTTTTAAAATCTATTTCCAGTAGCCTTTCAATATATTTCATAAGTGCTCACTGGAAAAACTAGTATTGTATCTCTGCCTTATGGTTATAGGTAAAAGCAAGAATCATTTCCAAAAAGTCAGGGTTTACTGAGACAAATTTCTCAGTTAAACACCTCCTAAAGATTGGTTCAGAGCTCAAATATAACACCCTTAACATCAGAATCGTTCCTGCCATCACCACCAGTATTGGTTTCTAACCAGAATGATTAAAGTTTGTTGTCAGAGGGCAGGGGGTTTTTTTTTAGGGCATGTGGTTCAACCCATGCCTAATTCTCACCAAGCACAGTCCTTTCAGAATGTGGACACATTTTATGGAAACTTTTTATTCTTGTAACTTTAGAATTCTGGTCGTTTTTATAAGAAATAGCGTTTTGTTAATTATAATTAGGTAATAAGGAGCTGGGTGTTTAATGACGAGTGTGAGTAGCATTTACTGGTGTGTTATACAAATAATAGTATGAATAATGTTATAAGCAGCCTGTTGAGCCTTGTAGGCTCCTTAAAGTGGAACTAATCACTTGCTAAACATTTGTAAATCATTTATTAGCTTTCTATTGCCTTTACAACTTTAATATAAAAATACCTTAAAACTTTTTGTATTAATTATAACCTGCTGGCTAAGGCTTCTGAGCTGTTTATTGATTTAGTAATTATGATTAACATTTAGGGTACTGAAACAATAACTCATATGACTATTTAAACCCCTTTTTTCTCTCTATAAGCTGCTTTCAGCTTGTTCTGTTTGTTGCAGGACAATAAACTTGTGCAGAACTTGAATCATCAGGAGCTGCAGTGCCAGGACAAGGGGGAGTGGCTGCAAACTGCCCAAGGGCAGGGTTAGATGGGATATTGGGAAGGAATTCTTGGCCCTGGCACAGGTTATTCCGTGGCTGCCCCATCCCTGGAAGTGTCCAAGGCCAGGTTGGACGGGGCTTGGAGCAGCCTGGGCTGGTGGAAGGAGTCCCTGCCCATGGCAGGGGGTGGCACTGGGTGGGCTTTGGAGTCCTCCACTCCAGGGAGGAATCTCCACACACATCCTGAGAAGGGAATGTCAGAACACCCTGTTAAAAAGTGGGACTGGGCTTTTCTAGGCTCAGGTGAAGGACTGTCAATGAATTGTCCCCAGCCCAGCTGTGTCAGCTCAGCAGCTTCAGATAAGCTATCCAGTGGCATCACTGGTTTGTCCCTTTATCGGGTCCTTCATCAGCTCTGCCACATCTCCCCCTCCCTGTCCGGATGTTTAACTTTGGGATTGGAGTCCTGCTGGTTTCAGCTTAATTCAAACCAAGCCCAGCATGGGCCCCTTCCCCATTCCCCACTGATAGCTTTGCAAATAGGGCATTGTTCCAGTGGTTTTACCCCCATTCCAGGCAGAGCCTCCTGCTGCACCTCGGCAGAGCAGCTGGGGCATCCCAAGTGCAAGTTCTGGTATCTACACTGGAGCAGTTAATTTACTGCAACACCCTTCTTTCAATAGGTAAAAAAATTAACTTCTCACTTTTGTGAACTGGATGTGTTTCTTGGAACTCTGAACTTGGTTTTCTCCTGAAGTTGCTGTTTAGTCTTTCTCACAAGTGATATGTTTTCACATAAGACAAGATCAGAAGCTATTTTAGATTATTTTTTGGAGACTGACTGGATTGAGTATGCCTGGAAGCCATGCTTTGAAAAAGGGAAATAAATGATTACTAACATATGCGAAATTATCCTCAGTGTGGTGAGTTGGGAAATTTTACTTTCATTTCAAGTCAGGAGGTTTTGTAGCTCGTGTGGGTTTGATCATCAGTTGTTTTTATCTGTTAACGCTTGTCGGTTTTTTGACTTGCAGAACACAACTGAGTCTCCTGTCACTGTGGAGACCTTGGATGATGTACCTGAGCACGTGCTTAGGGGCCTTCCTGAGGATGTGAGGCTCTTCCCATCTGCTGTGGACAAGACACGGCTGGGTGAGTGCTCCAGCTTTGAAAGGACAATGAGGGTGTTTACACTGAGCTCCCACAAATTAGAGTTGCTGGCAAAATGTGGTGCCATCCTCTGCTGGGTATAGATGATGTTTGGTGCATTTATCTGAAGTAATTTCGTTTGGGAAGAGTGGACAGCTCCCCATTAGGAGACAGACACGTGGACTGATCTTAAGAAATGTGAACTGTGAGTAGAAGATTTGCATGAAATAACTTAGATTAGTTTTAACTCCTGATGTGTGTCTCCTCAGGTGTCTGGGCAACAAAATCAATTTTAAAAGGCAAGAAGTTTGGACCATTTGTTGGTGACAAGAAAAAAAGATCTCAAGTCAAGAGCAACGTGTACATGTGGGAGGTAAGAAATGGCCTGTAAATGGGAAGAGTTGTCTGTCACTAGGTCAATATTTTGTATTTACTCTTTCCACAGATTTTACAAACAGACTTGATGTGAGGTTATTGGTATCTATTACTAATAGTTCTTGGACTCTGAGTTACAAAGTTTTCAACTCTTGGCACTGCTGGAAATTGCTGTGTGTGGATCACACCTCCCCTGAAGAGTCCCTTGCTGGTAGAGCTTTGCTTTGTTGGCTTGAACCCTGAGTGCTCTCCCTCTGCAGCTGAGGGCTGTCAACTGCTCATGAAACCAGGGAAATGAGGAGGATGTGGAATCTCTTAAGGAAGCCACAGCACTCCTCCTCAGTCAGCTCTTTGAAAGCCAGCTTTGTTATGGGAATGGGTTTTCCTTCTGGAGTTTTTTATGAGTCCTCAACTCTTGCAGTATTTTTGTGCTGCTTGTGTTTGGGCTTGCCTTGGAGCAAGTGCTGTCTGGACAGCTGAGTAGCTCCACTGATAGTGATGAGATTTGGGAAATTATGTGCTCTTCAAAATGTAGGTGGCTTAGTCTGGAGTTGAATCCTATCCACAGTGTCTTTAAGGCAGTTCATAAAAGACTCCTTCAGTCATTCTGAGGACAAGAACAGCAAAGTGAATAGTCCAGGAGGGGAGGGATGCAGGAGCTGTGGCAGAGCATGTTCTGGAGCACAGTTTGCTCCTTTATGTATTTTTAGGCTAAAGATACTGGTAACAGTTATCTGTCCTTCTGGCCCCTGGTCTGCGATCACTGAACTGTGTAAAAAACTGGATACACATGCAACACTTAGTGCTGACCTCTATCAGAGGTTTTGATAAGCACAATTTCCCCTAAATGCAAGTTCCTATTTAGAAAAGTAATCAGGTATTCAAGTAGAATGTTCATTTCCCTGAGCTAATGCCGCCTCAAACTCCACTGCAAAAGGTATCTCCAGTTTTGATCTGGTACAAGAACATTTGGTGAGATTGAATCAGCCAAGTAAATTATTGACCTTGCAATTGTGTTTCTCTCAGTGCTGGGTTTTGAATGTTCCTTGTGGATGTCTCTTCAATTAGTGTGGAGAAATGATAGTTGCAACCAAGCTGTTACAGAGTTTCCTTGTTTGCAGTGCAAGTGATAATGGGAACCCGTGGTAGACTGCAGAGTAATTGTGTGTCGCTTTAATACTGATTTTGGAGTCAGAAAAACAGCAGCTAAAATGAGACCACAGCAGTTATTCCCATATGCTGATACCAGAAACCAGTCCAGAATCTGAACTGTTAGAAAATATGGTTTGTAGAAGGATGGTGGTGTGTGGGAGCAGTTCAGTTGGACCCCAACTAGGGGAACAACCTTTTCCACAAGCATCCCATATTTCTCTTCTTCAGTCAGATTAATCTGAATAAAAAATAAGGCTTCTAAAACTGGCACTTCCAGTGGATTTTAATGATGCTGAACTGTGACAGTAGAGGATCCTTGTGCAATTAAAAAAAAGTATGTATATAATTTAAGTAATAATTTAAGTAATAATATTTAACATATTAAAGTATTATATATAAAACAAGTAATTAATAATTACATTTTGACACATATTCCATATCTGTTTAATTCTTCCACAGCATTTTTTGGCTCTTTTCTTCCATTTTAACCAAAAGAATTGCTTTTGCAGTCTCATCTGTGATGCTGTTTATGCTTTCATGTTGCAAGGGCTGGGTGTGCTGGGGAACATTCTTTCAAAAGTCAGCTGATGAAATCCATGCTGGAATAGTTTAAGAAAGGGAGATATTTTCTGTTTGCTTGGAAAAAAATCAAGATGATTGTGATGAATTTATTAAAACTTTACTTTCATTCATGAAATTCTATCTTATTAAATCAACAGTATATCAGCATAGAAGAAATCAAATTTATTAAATAACGGTTTTTCTAAGCTCTTGTAGAAGTTTAACTGAAAATGGAAAATGGTTTTCAAAAGCCTTAGAATTAGTTGTAAAGTATCAGAACCAGTAAAAAGCTACAACGTTGTAGATTTTTAGCTTTTTAGAAAAAGAAGAAAGGAAAAAATACCCACTGGTAGCTCTTTGTAGAGGCATCTAACTTGGAGTATAAGACGAGTGGGAGATGCATAACAGCTCTTGGAAGAGAAGCCTGTCAGCAGAAAATACTGCAGATGTCAGTCCCCTTCTTGCTTCATTGCAGCCTGTCTGCAAATGTAAACCAGGAGTAGGTGTTAAACTTTTCTTCAAGAATAGAAACCAAAGAATTTACATCTCAGAACATGCAGAAGTTTATGGACAGGGTCAGTTTTTTAAGGTGAATCACAAGATTTCTGAAAGGTTCAAGATGTTCTTTTATAACCTGAAAAAATATTAAATATAAATTATGCTTTCCCATATCTTTCCAAACAAAGCAAATGCTTCTAATTTCCATATAGTTATTTTTCCAATTCACCAGATAGTAAAAATAAATCTCTGTGCCTTTATATCTTCAATCAGTCGTTTTACTAAAGGCAAAATGTAAGAGTAGCATTTCAAGCTTGCCAAACTGAAAATGTGAAATGTTTTAAGGATCTTGGCTGTTGAGCCCAAAATCTTCAGAGAAGGGATTGCAGTTCCAAAAGTTTGGGGTTTTTTTCCAGTTGTATCCAATCAATTAAACTGCAGAAGGGCAACAACACTCTGTCCCAGCACAGCCCCTGCCTCTGCTCCTTTCCTCTGTGCTGTCTCTGCCCTTGGAGGGTTCCATGACTTTGTGGAGCTCTCAGATGTTTGTTTTGGTGCACGTGGCCGTTTGTTAAATGCCATTTCCCCCTCAGGTGTATTACCCCAACCTGGGCTGGATGTGTGTGGATGCAACGGACCCAGAGAAGGGCAACTGGCTCCGATACATCAACTGGGCACGTTCTGGCAAGGAGCAGAATCTCTTTCCTCTGGAGATCAACAGGACCATATACTACAAGAGCCTGAAGGTATCCCTGTCTGAGAATCAGTTCCTGCTTTATTAGATTTTATTATTATACCTTTTATTTCCCTTTATTAAAACGCTTTTTTCCAGTATCTGCATTAAACATTTAGTGAAATTTATGTTTACTTTTTCTTTATATTCTTTAAACATGAAAGAAAATATATTTGAAGTATTGCAAATGCTACATTTAATTGGTGTAAATTCTTCTCTGCCAGTACAGTTGACATTAAGATCTAATGTTAAACTCTAGGATATGTTTTGACACTAAGTCTGTCTTGTTGGTCAATGATTTGCAGTAGCATCGAATTTGATACCAATTAGAATGAGAAACTGTAGCAGATTATATAAAATAAATTGTTCTTCTATTTTTTGGGATACCAAGATAGTTTCTACTGAAGGTTTTTTTTGCAGCCATCAGTTATTTTTGTGGTCTGTGCATCGTATGACAAAGATTGGCTGTCAAGACACTTTTATAGGTACCTCCATGAACCCATTTTTCATGGGTTTATCCCATTTCAGTTCTGTTCAGGGAGTGAGGGGGAGGCAGGGAAAAGGGTGTAATTCCTGAAGCATTTTATCTCCCAAACCAAGAAAAAAAAGTGGTTTTAACCATCGTGGTGGAGCACATTGGGGTTAGAATATTGTGCCTAGAAAGTACTGACTGTGCCTGAGGAGCAGTGAGTGTGTGCAGCTTGACTTGGCTCTTATTTAAGATGCTTTTGGGGGTTGGGGGCATGTGCAGCCTTGTTTTTGCACTCTTGCTGTTCCTTCCATTTCCTTGTGAGGCCAAAAACATCTGCAAAGAACTGGTCTTTGCTTAGTGAAGGAGTGAGTTGATACCTTGCAGTGCAGCAGTGTGTGACACTGTTCCATTTTAGGGCACTCAAACTATATTGTAAAAAACCAAACTTCTAAACACTTTCTGATCTTTCTGATGGCTCCACTATTTCCAGCCAGACTGCTGCCTTCTCTTCAGTGTTTCTTCCCTGAGGACAGGCTCCCAATGTGAATTTGTAACCACTCTTGCTTGCTTTAGACACTTTATCTTGGATTTCCTCTGCCTTTGCCCATAGTCCCACTAAGTCATTAACCTAAAGTGTATTTTTGGAGTCACTCTGACATTTTGTATTTCTCTCTCATTGAATCTTTTCTGCAGAGGTTTTAGTCCTGATAATTCAAGCATTCACATATTCCAAATTGTGTTTTTTGATGGATAAGATTGCACTTTGGAAAATAACTGTGCTGCTGAAAGAGGCTGAGCACTGCTTAAAGAATAACAAATATCTTGTCTCAGCACTGAAATATCCTTTTGTTCCTTTGGCTGTTGTCTCTTGCAACTTGATGAATTTTATTCCAGTCACACCTTACTGTTAACTGAGACAAAAGAAGGCATGTCATAAATAACATCTTAAATGGCCTTCTTTCTCTGTGTATAATGTGTTATGGTCTAATTTCAAACCTGCTGTAAATTTACCAGCCCAGCTATGAACACACAGTTCTTCCTGATCTTTATCATAATTCATGAATTTAGGGGAATTCCACTTGCTGATAAATAAACAGCACAGGTTTTATTTACCCCCAAAGGAGAATTCAAGTGGCTTGTGTGTAATTTTGTTCTGCTTTACCTGGAAGCATTTATAATATTGTCGTGGCTGGTTTTTTTTCCCAGGGTTTTCTTCAGCTTTTTGTGGGTTTCTCATCTGTAAATTAAGCAGGCTGATTTCCAAACTTTCCAAGCCTCATTGCTAAGATAAGCAAAGTCCAAATTTGCTTGGTGTAGAAGAACATCAAACCTGCACAGAGCTTTAACTTCCCTGTTCTCTGCTGCGAATGAATAGTTATAGAACAGAATTTTTAAGTGAGCACAAGCAAATATTTCTCTCCACCTTCCCTTCATCTTCACCGAAGGGCTGAGGTTATTTGTGGGCTGCTTTGCATCTGCTTTCCCCAGGATGAATATGAGAGCTGTGATATTTCAGTGAAACAGCTTAAACTCATTATGGGGTTTCAGAAACTCCTCCTGACTCTGCTGATGAAAGGAGCTCGTTGCTCAGTGTTGTTCTGCATGCAGGACAGAAGGAAAAATACAGAAGAAGTAAAATTGCAGTGAAAAGACACAGGTTCAAAAAGTCTTCTAAAGAAGCCTGGCTGTGAAACTGGCCTTGATTAAAGTGAAATTCATTTGTTTACGGAAGAAGGTTTTGTCAGACGGGTTTATAATAACTCCAGATCCTCCCTGTTACACGGGAGAACACAATGTAACCTTGGGTTATACCTTGTGAAAGCTTCACCCAAGTAAATATCAATTTGATTGCTTTTTGTGGAGGCCACATCCAGGTGCAGAAGCAAAATATCACAGAAAATACAGAGTCTGTGTGAGAAATAAGGTCTGTAAAGAACACATTGCAGTGCTTGTACAAGGAACTGGATTTTAGACAATCTGGGGTACAGCTTCTCAGGATATAACTTATTAGGGTGCTACTCTCAGAAATAACAGATTGTGGAATTACCTTAAACCTCAGATTAAAGGACTGTTAAACGTTGTAGTTAAAACACAAAGCTCAAAAAAGCATTAACCTGAGGAGCCTCTCCCACATTCATACCCTGTTGAACCAAACTGTCCCCACCTGACACTGCTACACTGAGGATCTGTAGGGAATGGCTTGGAGGAGGTTGGGTTTGGAGTTGTTATCAGGAAGAGTAGTGGTGGAAGTGGCACTTGCTCAGTGTGGCCCTTTTCTCCCTCCAGTTTTCAGTGAGGCAGCAGTTTTGAATTGTCTGGTTCTGAAGCTGCTGCTCCAGCTCATTTTAGAAGCACACACAAAGTTAGAAGGGCTTAATTTAGTCACAACGAAAGTAAATTCATCAAGTTGAATAATCCAGCCATGCAGCCCAACAAATTCTGTGCTCCTCATCATCCTGTGTTTGCATTGCCTGAAACCTCAGCCTGCTCTTTTCTCTGAGCTTGTGTATTTTTGAGTTGATGAAGTTTTTTTGCATCATCAGACAACTCTTCTGCATTCGTTGCTGCTTGACAGCTGCGAAGTGGGACCATGCAAAGAGCTTTACCACAATTTCTCCTCTCAGGCCTCTGGGAATAGGGGAAGTCTTAAAAAAGCAAAACCTTTAGGCTTTGCTTGTGTTATAATTTAAATATTTTCCCCAGCTGGGATCTTGCATCTCTTGTTGTTCTGGTGTCTGGGGATGAGGTAACTCTCACCTTTATCGAGTGCTGTGGGACTCACTAAAAAAAAAGTGCTGTAGAGGAAAGAAATAAAAGAAATATGACTGTTGTTCTTGATACAAAAATGCCCTTTGGCTTCAGAGTGGAACTAAGTGTAAGGACACCCTTTGCTCTATTGGAATGACTGAAAATAGGATCTGATCTCCACCAGCCCCATGTTCATCAAGCCCTGAAAGAGGGGGATTGTAGTTAAGGTGTTTAAATTTTTCTTGGTTTTGGGGAGAATGCTTCAGGAAATGGAGAAAGAATGAGGAAGATTTTAAAAATAAATACAAATACATCTTTAGTCTGCAAATTTGGGGACTTGGTAATTTGAGTCTGATAATATTTTAAGAAACATATGAAATAAATCGATCAAGACCAGTTTCTTTTATTGGCAGTGCCTGGAATATGATATGAGTAGCATTTGCAGTGATGCCTGTTTGGCATTGGTCTTTCCTGTGATTTAAAAAAAACAAAACAACAACCTAGAAATAATCAATTTGGAATGGCAATCAAACCTGTCATTACAGTGATGAAGTGGATTTGTTAAACATGCTGTAATTATCTATATTGCCATTAACCCACTGCGACAGTCTTTTCCTGGATCTGTAGACCTTGTTCCAAATCCCAGCTGTAGTGGCTGCCTGAGCAGTGTTACTTATTATTATATTAGATTTAATTAACGTTATTTAATGCTTTGTGTAAGGTAGTTGTGTTTGGCTGGTTGCTCCCTGGGAAGAATTAACTGTGAATATCCACAGAAGTGAGCTCAGGGATGTCACTGTCTGCAGGCATTTAAATCATTGCCACTAGTTAAGGCAAACCACAGTTTGGGATGTTGGAGCTGGAAGTTTCATGTCAATAATAATATAATAATAATAATAATAATGCAGGAACTGTATTAATAATTAACTATTTAACTGTATTAATAGTAACTATAACTGTGTTATATATTGTCAGGACCTGTAGTGTTAGGACAAGGAGTAATGGGTACAAATTGATTTCTGGGATTTTTTGTGTTTTCCTTTTTTTTTTTTTATTATTTTTTTTTTTTTTTTTTAATATTTTTTTTTTATTTGGTGATGTGTTTTGGGAGGGGGTAACTTTTTTGTGTGTGTCTTTTTCTGTGATTTCATTCATTCCCAGGAGCAGGGTTTGGGGTGTCTGTGATTGATTAATTCGTTAATTATGGGGGGTGGGGTTTGGCTTGTTGTCTGTAATTGATTAATTAATTAATTCCTAGGGGTGGGGTTTGGGCTGTCTATAATTGATTAATTTATTAATTAATTCCCAGGGTTGGGGTTTGGGTTGTTGTCTGTAATTGATCCATTAGTTAATTCCCAGGGGGCAGGGTTTGGGATGTTCTATGATTGATTATTAATTAATTCCTGGGGGCAGGGTTTGGGGTGTTGTCTGTGATTGATCCATTAATTAACTCTGGGGGTGGTGGTGGGGGGAAGTTTGGGGTGTCTGTAATTGATCCATTAATTAATTCCCGGGGGCAGGGTTTGAGGTGTTGTGTGTAATTGATTCATTAATTAATTCCCGGGGCGGGGTTTGGGGTGTCTCTAATTGATTGATTCATTAATTAATTCCCGGGGCGGGGTTTGGGGGATGTCTCTGATTGATTAATTCATTAATTACTTCCTGGGGGCGGGGTTTGGAGTGTCTAATTAATTAATTAATTCCCAGGGGCGGGGTTTGGGGGGGTGTCTCTGATTGATTAATTCATTAATTATCTCCGGGGGCAGGGTTCGAGGTGTCTCTAATTGATTAATTAACTATCTCCCGGGCCGGGGGGCGGGTTGCTGTCTGTAATTAACCCATTAATTACTCCCGGGGGGGGGAGCGGGTTTGGTGTCCCCTCAGCCGCGCGGCCTCCGGGCCGGCAGGGGGCGCCCGTTGGCGGCGGCGCCGCGGGGGCCGCGCCGGGGCCGCTGCCGCTCCCGCCCCGCCGCCTCCTCCCCGCTGCCCGTGCCCGCTCCCCGCCCCGCCAACAACGCGCCCGCTCACTGGCCCCGCGCCGTGTGTTGTGTCCCCGCAGCCAATCGCGGCGGGCGAGGAGCTGTTGGTGTGGTACAATGGCGAGGACGACCCGGCCATAGCGGCCGCGATCGAGGAGGAGCGAGCGAGCGCCCGCAGCCGCCGGCACTCCCCGAAGGCCCGCAGAGGTACGGACCGCGCCCGCCGCGCCGCCGCCCCCGCCGGGCCCGCGCCCGCCGTGACCTTCCCCGGGGAGCGGGGCGGGAGGGGACGGGAGGGCCCGGCCCGGCCCGGCCGGCGCCGCCGCGGGAGGAACGTGGAAGTTGTGGCGGCTGGAAAAGTTGGGAGAGGCGGCGCGGGGAAGGGGGATGGCCGCGGGACGAGGGGCAGCGGCAGCGATCCCGCGTGGGGCGGGGGGTGAGCCCGGGGAGCCGCGATCCCTCCTTGGGAAGGGGAGCAGCCCGGGGAGCCGCGATCCCTCCTTGGGAAGGGAACCGAGCCCGGGGAGCCGCGATCCCTCCTTGGGAAGGTGGAACAGCCCGAGGCCGCCGTGATTCCTTCTTGGAAAGGGGGAACTGAGCCCGGGGTCCGCACGATGCCTCCTTGGGAAGGGGGAGGCTCATCGTGGGGCCGCCGCGATGCCTCCTTGAGAAGAAGGAGGCTGATCCCGGGGAGCCGCGATCCCGCTTTGGAAAGGGGAGGATGAGCCCTGGGCCACCGCGGTCCCTCCTTGGGAAGAGGGAGCTGATCCCGGGCCCGCCGCGATCCCGCTTTGGGAAGGGGGGACCTGGGCCCGGGGCCGGGGGTGCGTCAGTGGAGCCAGATGAAAAACCCCGGCCTCGTTACTCCCTGCGGTTTTTAATTCCTTGTTGGTTTTAGGCTGATCTGGTGGCTCTGGAATCTCGAATGGCTGCTCCTGCCCGGCTTCGGCCGAGGAGGGAGGATGGGAGAGGCGTTTCGGGGAGAGGGTTATAAACACGTTATTCCATGTAAATATGTATGTCAGAGCAGACATCCCCGATTTTTTCCGTGACTAATTCGGGCAGCAATATTTTTCGGAGTGCGTGTGGCCTCCACGCGTGGCCTTATATAACTGACATTTTCACCAACGTTTTAGGCCAAAATCGCCATAAAGCCTTTGGTTACAGGGAGTAAATACAGAAAGGAAACATTCACAGCTGTAGCACAAGGATGCCGATTCCTCTCGCAGGGAAATGTGTACATTTTGGAATTCTCTGAATGTTACAAACGAACCAAAGGAAAGGTAATATTTTAAGTGGCATCACTGTAGTTTTTAACTTATAATTTAGGGCCTGATCTTACAGGTTGTGGAACTCACGGTTGGAACAAGCTCAGATATTGAGGAGAACAGTTATTATGTAAGTTGTTTTATATTAGAGATTGAAGAGGGGGCTGTGGTGCAGCACAATTAGTTATTTTGAACAGTAATTTGTAGGTTAAGCAAATACAAGCTGAAATTCGAGCACTGATTTTTATTTACCTGCCTGAAATGAAAAGAATATTCAGCAAATATATGAGCAAGGCTCAGTAAATTACAGGCTGTATTATGTTTTTTCCTAAATCTACTTTATCTTAGCACATGGAGTTTGTGTGCCTGTGATTTACCTGAAAGGCTAGAAAAACAGCCTGCAAGAATTTGATTATATGATAAATCAGAAAAGCCAGACAGAATAATTTCTAAGGTAATTTTTTCATGGCACTCAAGTTTGATTTGCATTCACGAAGTTATAGGTAAAAATATCAGTAAACTAATTTGGTTCCTGGGTTTTGATTTTGTGCTGGTTTGTAGGTTTCAAGTTTTAACTGTTATGGGCTTTACAGATTTCATAATTAGGAACAATAAATCTTTTTCCCCATTTTATAAACACAGGCTAAGGTCTCACAAGTATTAAATGAAAAGCAACCCAGCAAAAAACAACTCCAAGCACAATATTGATGAAGCATTTGAGAACAACCAAGAGCAATTTATTTATGGAATTATACTCGTGTATCATGAAGCAGAAAGACCAAATTCTTAGCAATTAGTTGATCTGAGTTATGATTAACATTTCAGTTGTAAAATGATGAAACAACTGAAATTTTGTAGTTCTGGTTTTCACAGGTTTCACTGGAACTCTTTTCTCTCCGTTTATTCTCAGTTATTTTAGTGTTTGTAGTAACATCTGCTAATATCTGCAATTCACAGCAATTTTCTTGTAAGAAATACGTTTTTCCTTTGCAGATTGATAGCAGGAGATGCAGTGAGGATTCCAGAATGGTTTCTACTGATATCCCTGTTTTTGTAGGTTCAGCTGTATCCTTGGATATGGAAGTTTCTTAACTTGAGGGTTTTTTGGAAAATAAAGGAAAGGATTAAATAAAGGAGCAGCATTCAAAAGTGATTAATTTAAAAATCAATAATTCTTAATTATATGATGACAAGGGTGGTGGCAGGAGAAGGATATCATGGTTAACTTTGTGCGTGTGGAAAATTAGGAGTCAGTACAAGGTAATATTTGAGATTAAATAGCAGTTTAAGAAGCATTCTAGAGAGGAGCTCCTCCAGAGGGTTGTGGAATTTTGATTTATTAGTGACCTACACAGATGAATAAATTCTTTCTTAGTAAACTTTATTTTGGCCTGTGTTGCACATTGTTGTCTTACACATTGAGCAGAAAATAGAAGTAAGAACTGCCAAGTTCTGTGAACGAGTGTGTCCTTTAGGAACACGTTTTCCAGAGAAGTCAAGTGACAGTTTAATACCTTAGGAATGACTAGAAAGGACATTATTTGAGAGGTGTGTTACAACTGAGTAGTTCAGAACATGGAGTTATTAAGTAAAGCCCATAATTATTCTGTATTCAGTAAAACAAACATCCTTTTGGATTTTTAATGCATCTTGGGCCTTGTCCTTGGACAGGTAAGGCATTTACCAATTGGCAAATAATCTTGTTCCTGCCATTGGTTTAATGAGCCCTGCTCAGAAAAGGTGACCATTTCCCAGCTATTAAAAATGGGCTGGTTTTGCCCAATTGATCAAGGCTTTGATTGCTGTAAAACTGTAAAATTGCAGTAAGAATTCTCTTTATTTCTGAATAAATCCCCTGTGCTGTAGGGGATGTACTTCCCATAAGAGGTAGGCTGGACTAAATTTGGGAAGTGGAGGTGGCATTTAAGAACCAGCAGCTGACCAGGTCTGGGGCAGACCCAAAATCCAGCCTGAACTGTTCTCCTCGACCTTTACATGACCTGTTTGCAGGTGATCCCTGACACCAGGTCCATAATCTCCTTTAGAGCACATTTAGGATGGCACTTGGCCTTTCCTCCAGGTGCCACCTCTCCCTTGCACAGTTTTGATTTTAGGTTTTGAATTCAAACTCCTTCACACCCCTCCAGGTGTTGGATGACTCCTGCCTGGCTTGGCCATGGGTTTTCTGAGCTGGAATAAATCCTTTCCATCTTCCTTCCACCAGGCACAGCAGCTCAGCATCCTGGAGGGAAGAGGCAGCTCTTACAAATACATTTTTACCTATTGGAACATTGCATGTTGTTCCTGAGGTGATGAGTGCATCTGAGCTTCAGAAAGAAATTTAGTAGGATAAACAGCTATTGAGGAGGATAGAAAAAATGAAAACAACTTGAGGAACTTGGGGAATATCACAGATTTTTATCAGAGCCAAGCTGGTACTTTTGCCATCATAACTAATGGTAAAGAGCTCCCAGCTGCTGGTGCATGACCAACAACCAGCTGAAAAATTACCTGATTTTATTTTTTATTTTGTTGCTTTTGCATTTCCTGGAATTGCATTTTCTAGTTAAGCATTTCTCATCTGCTTCTCCCAGGTCGTAGTTAATGTGCTTTATTCTGCCTGCCAAGCTCGTAGGGAAATTTGTTCAATCAAATGCATTAACACAAGGTCTTTCATTAATTCTCCTCTAAGGGAAAAAAAAAAAGAACAGCTTGGTTTTTACTTTACAGTTGAATTCATGTGTCCTTTAGAGGAGGAGTGGAGATATTTTTTTGTCTCATCAGGGCATTTCTTCCTCTGCATATGACAGTAATAATTTGTAGCAGTGAGCAGTAATATCAAAGATTAATGTTTCCTTCTAGAAGGAAGACTTGGAGTCTCTGGCAAGTAACTTTTCACTAACTTAAGTTTGTTTGTTTGTTTGTTTGTTTTTTTAAAGAAAAGGATGGTCATAAAAGAACCCCAAACCAAAGATGATCATACCTAAAGATATCCTGTGGTTTTATCAGGCTCTAACCTGCTTCAGGGTGCTGCCTGCAACTCCAGAGTGCCATCAAACAGGGCTAAAATCTCATTTCTGTCATGGCTTATGTGGCAGATCAAAAGTCTGGTTCTGGAAGAATAAAGTTACTGATGTTACCCAGGATAAAATCTTGCCCTGAATAATACCTCTAAAAAAGCCTTTTTTTGGGGGGGGGAGATGAGGGCAGTGCTTTCCTTGTGCCGTGCTGATTTATCCCCGTGGCAGAGCCTCACGCTGGGCTGTTCCCTGTGTTCCACTTCTCCCCCAGCCCGTGGCACAGGCTGTGCTGTGTCTGCACTGAGGGCTGGGTGTGCTGCTCTCTGGGCACAGTCAGCCTGTCAAGAGAGGGGAGGGAAAAAACCCTCTGTAATTCCATTTTTCCAAAAGCACTTGCTGCACAACGTAACTGCAGTGGGTTGTCACGAAACCAAATGACCTCTCGGGTCACAGTTGTGTCAACCCTTAAAATACTTCTCCATTGTGGTGCAGGCAAAGCACCTGCAGCAGGGTCACCTGTGCCGTGGGGATTATTTATTGTAGCCCAGTTTGGAAGTCTCAAAGCATTGCTAATAAATCTTGTAACACTTTGTTACCTTAAATGGTTCTACTGCAGTTTTGGTGGCCCCGTGGTTCTTAAAAGGTTTGAGGGAGAACATGAACTGTAGGGAAACTCTTAGTGACCAGAGACAGTGTGAGATGAGGGTGGGTGAATTATGAAATCAATTATTATCTGTTACAAAGAGTTATTGTGCCTTGGTTTATATCAGTCTGAATGCCAAGTGCAACTTCAGGCTTCTGCTCCTCAGATTCTAAATAAAAGCTGCCATCCTAAAAGTTACACTGCTTTTTCTTCTGTCTCAAAGTGTAACTGTTGCTGAAACAGTGTCAGGTTGCTGCTGGAGGAAGGGGAAATGTA